TGGGGAAGGAGGGAGGCTCAGATCCCCTGCCCCCCAAGATGGACCTGACTGAGGGGTCCTCTTCTTTGTACCTCCAAGCTCTGTGTTAGATCATGTCCCTATCATGTAATAAACCTTCTGTGTTCCCGGCTGGCTGAGAGTCACGTCTGACTGTGGAATTAGGGTGCAGGAGCCTCTGGCTTCCCCAGGAGCCCCGCCTGCACGGACTCGTTGCAGGAAGCGCACAGTGTGAGAAGAGGATGCTGAATGCTCTGAGGTCAGACTCAGGAAGGTCGAAGCCGTGTAAGTTTCTTGCCCTGGAGACAATCTGCTCTCAGAAAGGAGGCTCCCCCAGAGTCCTGACTGGCTTCGTATAGAGTAGGTCCAGAGCATCGCCCGGGGACTCCATGACAAGTGGTGGGATGTACTGCATCCCGTGAATCCCATTTCTTGCAGTAAGTGACTGGGGAGCAGTAAAACAAAGGGGGCTTAATGAGGACCAGGCGTGCTGAAGGCTCAGAGAGGGGTGGTTTCAGGGGGCAAAGGAGCTACGCTTAACCCCTGGGAATGTGTGACCAGCGAGAAGGACTGTTGAAGTAACAGGATCCCCCTGGGGACTACGGCAAGCAGTCCCATGGGTGGAGGAATCTGCGGCTCGACCCTGGGAGAGAGGTGGTGACCTCGAGAAGGGCTGGCACACTAGAGATTCCTCCTGGAAACCGTGGGGAGCTGAGAGCACACGGGCCTGTGAGTCCACAACAACTTGGGAACAACGGAGTGATGGCCTATCACCATAGAATCACAGAATATCAGAGTTGGAAGGGACCTCAGGAGGTCATCTAGTCCAACCCCCTGCTCAAAGCAGGACCAATCCCCAATTTTTGCCCCAGATCCCTAAATGGCCCCCTCAAGGATTGAACTCACAAAACTGGGTTTAGCAGGCCAATGCTCAAACCACTGAGCTATCCCTCCTCCCCACGATAATAACTCTGTGCAAAAAGAGAGGGTTGCGCATGGGAAAGATCACCAAAGCACAGTTCATCGTGCAGCTGGAGGACGATGACCGCCCTAAGGAACAGAGTCCTGACTCCAAATGGGGCTATAGCAGGATCTGGGAGCAGCTGGAGTGGTAGCCAGGCATCCCCAAGACTCCTGTCCCCAACCAGACGGGGGTCTTCACAATCGGGTTTGCCATCAGGGAATCGGAGACGGACGGGATTGGAGCTGAGTCCGAGGACTATGAGAGACAGCGAGAGCCAAAGAAAGAGCTGCAGGAAAAGCAGCAGCAGCATGAACTGGCGATGGTGGAGCGGAGAGGCATATGGGACCTTCCAGGGGTGAGTGTGGACAGACCCCCGGTTCCACAGGGAACCTCGAGACTAAATTGCTGCCCTGGTTAAGGGGGGGGATGTGGATGCCCACCTCACTGCCTTTGAGCAGGCTGGCGATTTGAACCAGGGGACCCTGTGGAACAGCCCCGGTGTCTAGCTCCCTTGCTGGGTCCCAAGGCCATAGACACCGTCAGCCCGATGGGTGGGGAGGTGAACAGGCTCCCGGCCCCAGCCTATGTGTCTGTGTGGAGTTTCCTGGGGTCAGGCCCCTCAGACCTCCAGTGGGAGCGGAAGGTGATGGTCAATGGGGAGACATTTCTGGGGTGGCGAGATCCTGGGACAGAGGGAACTGGTGTCAGGCCCTGGGTGGTGCAGCCTCAGATGCTGAGGGGCTGTGTGAGCTGGGTGAGGGTCCCAAGGACAAAGCCCCTCGCCCTGCCTGTGGCCCAGATCCCTGTGCAGACCCAGGAGGGGTGGGGCTGGCTGATCGTTGGGGCTCTCCAGGATATGGGCTGTGAGGTCCTGTTGGGGGGTGACTGTGTCTCTTTGGGACAGGATCCAGGCCCTGCTCCGGTAACGGCCAAGGATCTGAATTTGAATCCAGGGAACCAATCGGCGGAGAGGGAAATGGTCAGTGAAAATGCAGATGACCTGGCTGGCAGTGGGGAGGAGCTGCTAGGCTTAGGATACCTGCCTACCTGTAACCAGCCCCCTGGGACTGGGTGGGACAGAAAGAGGCTCCCTGCCCCCTGCACACCGGAGAGGGGGCTCACGCTGGATCCGATGCTGTAAGGAGAGCAGAGAGCTCGCTGCCTGCCCCCACTGGGACAGCAAGGGCAGCGCTGAGCAAGGGGGGAGCTGAGACCCCAGCTGAGGGGGGGGACCCACAGGAAGGGCAGTTCGGCTGCCAACCAGGTTTAGCTGGTCCAGAGACGCTGCTGGGAAGTGATCCCACGGCAGGGAGGGAGCGACCAGGGACAGGGCTCAGCGGGGCTGTGACCCCAGGCCCAGCCCACGAGAGGGAGCAGGTCCCACTCCCTCCCCCAGCACCTGAATTCCAGACCGAGCTACGGAAGGATCCCTCCTAGGAGGCGCTGAGGGGACTTGCTGGCCACAGGCTGCAAACCCCCGTGGGGAAGGCTGCAGGGACAGATTCCCGTGGGAGAAGGGATTCCTGTACCAGGAAGGGGCTCCCCCAGGGGAAGTAGAACCGTGGGGGATCAGGAGGCCGCTGGGGGTGCCCCAGAAGTGTCGCCGCCGTCTGTCGTACCTGGCCCACAATGACCCTCTCTCGGGACACCAGGGGATCCAGGCCCCAGGCAGCGGCTGCTGCAGAACCACGACTGACCTGGAGTCTGGGACGCGGCCCAGCGGCACGGCAGGTCCTGCAACCCTGGCCAGAGGGGGGGGAGGGAAGGCCAGGATAAGGGAGAAGCTTCCTTGAGACCCCTGCCCAACACAGAGGAACCTTTCCAGAAGGTGACTATGGACATAGTGGGGCCCCTCAGCAAGGCGACCCGGGCAGGGAAGAAATAAGGCCTGGGGGTGATGGATTTCACCACCCACTACCCAGGGGCGGGAGCTCTGTCCTCCACCAAGGCAGACGCGCTGCTGACCATCTTCAGCAGAGGGGGGGGCCCCAGCAAGGTCCTTAGAGACCAGGGGTCCAATGTCCTGTCAGCCTTGCTCCGGGGCTGGTGGGAGAAATGGGGGGTCTGGCCCACCTGGGCCTCTGCAGGTCACCCTCCATCCCATGGGCTGGTGGAGAGAGTTTATGGGCCCCTGGGGTTGATCAGCATCTGCAGGATGGGGACAAGGACCTGCCCCACCTGTGATATGGGGAAGTGCCCCAGGAATCCACCAGGTTCTTCCCTTTTGAGCTGCTCTACGGGAGGAGAGTGAGGGGACCCTGGACCTGGTAAGGGCCGATTCGGAGGAGAAGGGGGAAGACCCCCGGGTGGATCTCTTCCCTGAGGTGGGGGCCAATCCTCCCATCAGGTGTCCCTTGTTCAGAGTCCCTGGGAAAACAGCCCAGAGCCTGGAGAGAGAGGTCAAGGATAGGCTGGCTTTAGGGGTGATCCAGCCGTTCAATAGCCCATGGGCCCGTCTCAGCCCCAGCTGGTGGGGGGGTCTCCCCCATAGCGTTAGCTGGCTAGAACAAAAGGCCTCAGGGCACAGTGCAGCTTGGCCAGCACGCCGGAAGCTCTGGTGCTGAATCAGAGCACCCCACTCCCACCCGCACTGGGACACGGCGCTGGGTCACAGGCAGATCCACCCCTACAGACCCACCCCACACTGGGAGACGGTGCTGGGTCACATAGAATCATAGAATATCAGGGTTGGAAGGGACCCCAGAAGGTCATCTAGTCCAACCCTCCGCTCGAAGCAGGACCAATTCCCAGTTAAATCATCCCAGCCAGGGCTGGCCCTGCTGCCCACATCCCCCCCAGGGACACGGCACTGGGTCACAGGCAGGTGAGGCCCTGAAGGCCCCCCCATCTCACCGCTCACAGAAGGGGTGCAGGCAGAGGGGTAGCCATAGGAGGGATGGAGGGGGCGGGGGGGCACTCACCGCTCAAAGAAGGGGTGCAGGCAGAGGGGTAGCCCTGGGGGTGATGGAGGGGGCCTGGGGGGGCACTCACCGCTCGCAGAAAGGGTGCAGGCAGAGGGGGAGCCCTGGGGGGGATGGAGGGGGTCTGGGGGGTGGAGGGGGGGGGGGGACGCTCACCGCTCGCAGAAGGGGTGGAGGCAGAGGGGGAGCCCTCGGGGGGATGGGGGGCTGGGGGGCCCGAGAAGGGTGCAGGCAGAGGGGGAGCCCGGGGGGGGGGGTGGGGGGGCGCGGGGGGGGGTCAGAAGGGGTGGAGACAGAGGGTAGCCCGGGGGTGGAGGGGCCGGGGGGCGCCACAGAAGGGTTGCAGGCAGAGGGGGAGCCCTGGGGGGGTGGAGGGGCCCTGGGGGTGATGGCAGTGCCTGGGGGGGCGCTCACCGCTCACAGAAGGGGTGGAGGCAGAGGGGGAGCCCTGGGGGGGTGGAGGGGCCCTGGGGGGGATGGAGGGGCCTGGGGGGCGCTCGCTCAGAAGGGTTGAGGAGAGGGGGGGCCCTGGGGGGGGGGGGATGGAGGGGTCTGGGGGGGCGCTCACCACTCACAGAAGGGTTGCAGGCAGAGGGGGAGCCCTGAGGGGGTGGAGGGGCCCTGGGGGGCGCTCACCGCTCACAGAAGGGTTGCAGGCAGAGGGGGAGCCCTGGGGGGGATGGAGGGGCCTGGGGGGGCACTCACCGCTCACAGAAGGTGTGGAGGAAGAGGGGGAGCCCTGGGGGGGGTGGAGGGGCCCTGGGGGGGCGCTCACGGCTCGCAGAAGGGGTGCAGGCAGAGGGGAAGCCCTGGGGGGGATGGAGAGGGCTGGGGGGCGCTCACTGCTCACAGAAGGGGTGGAGGCAGAGGGGTAGCCCTGGGGGGGTGGAAGGGCCTGGGGGGGCGCTCACCGCTCACAGAAGGGTTGCAGGCAGAGGGGGAGCCCTGGGGGGGGTGGAGGGGCCTGGGGGGGCGCTCACCGCTCACAGAAGGGTTGCAGGCAGAGGGGGAGCCCTGGGGGGGCGCTCACCGCTCACAGAAGGGTTGCAGGCAGAGGGGGAGCCCTGGGGGGTTGGAGGGGCCCTGGGGGGGATGGAGGGGTCTGGGGGGGCGCTCACCGCTCACAGAAGGTGTGCAGGCAGGGCAGCACCTTGGGGTTGCGGTACCGGTCCAGGCAGATGCTGCAGACCAGGAACTGCTTGTCGATCTGCCGCACCACGGGGCTGGCGTTGGCCTCCCGCTTCGCCATGGTGACCCTCGGTCAGCGAGGCTGCGGGCCCAACTGCCACTGACCTGCAGGGGCGAGAGTGGGGGTGAGCCAGGACCGGTGCCCTCACTCAGCGCTGACCTGAACGGCCCCAGCCCCAGGCCCTGGGGTGCCCTCAGACGCCCCCCCAGGACCTGGCATCCCGCCCAGGCGGGCACCAGGCCAGAGGCAGCTCTCCGTCCTCTGGCCAGCTCCCTGCCCAGGGCCAGGAGCATCCAGCCACCCTGGTCCTGCTGAGGCTCTGCCCCCTGGGCACCCCGCCCCTTGTCCCAGCTCAGGGAAGGGGAGAACCCAGAAATGGCTCAGGGTGGCCAGAGCCTTATGGGGCCTGCCCATCCCTTGGAGGCCCCGCCAGCTCAGGCCACACCACCCAGTATCCAGTGTCCTCTGAGACCATGGGCACAGTTGGCAAAGAGCAGGGGCTGCAAGAGCCGGCTAGCCCCAGCTCCGGGGCTCCTCTACACCGAGAGCCGGCAGCTCCGTCCCAGAGCCGTGGAGCGAGCAGGTGCTGGGAGCAGGGGCACTTCAGAGCCTCGCATGGGGGCACTGCTCCCCCCTCCCTCCAGCTCTGCATCCCCCCCTCCCCAGAGAGCGCTGCTCCCCCCTCCCTCCAGCTCTGCATCCCCCCCTCCCCAGAGAGCGCTGCTCCCCCCTCCCTCCAGCTCTGCATCCCCCCCTCCCCAGAGAGCGCTGCTCCCCCCTCCCTCCAGCTCTGCATCCCCCCCTCCCCAGAGAGCGCTGCTCCCCCCTCCCTCCAGCTCTGCATCCCCCCCTCCCCAGAGAGCGCTGCTCCCCCCTCCCTCCAGCTCTGCATCCCCCCCTCCCCAGAGGGCGCTGCTCCCCCCTCCCTCCAGCTCTGCATCCCCCCCTCCCCAGAGAGCGCTGCTCCCCCCTCCCTCCAGCTCTGCATCCCCCCTCCCCAGAGGGCGCTGCTCCCCCTCCCTCCAGCTCTGCATCCCCCCTCCCCAGAGAGCGCTGCTCCCCCCTCCCTCCAGCTCTGCATCCCCCCTCCCCAGAGAGCGCTGCTCCCCCCTCCCTCCAGCTCCGCATCCCCCCCCTCCCCAGAGGGCGCTGCTCCCCCCTCCCTCCAGCTCCGCATCCCCCCCTCCCCAGAGGGAGCTGCTCCCCCCCCTCCGCATCCCCCCTCCCCAGAGGGCACTCTGCCCCACCCACCACCAGGCTCTGCACCCCCCAGAGAGCGCTGCCCCCCACGCCAAGGCTCTACATCTCCGCCCCCCCAGCACTGCCAGGCTCTGCATCCCCCCGACTCACGCTAGTGGCTCCCCGCGCCGCAGGGTCCCAGGCCCGGCCGCCGCCCCGCCCGGCCGGCCATTGTGCGGGCAGCAGCTGAGCGAGGCTACGTCACCACCGCCGCCCCGCCCCCGCGCCGTCACAGCGCCACGCCCCCGCCGCCGCGACAGAGGGCGGGGCCGCTTGGCTGGGGGATCCCGGCGGGGGAGGGGGGCGGGGGCAGGGCGCCGGCTGGGGGATCCCGGCGGGGGAGGGGGGGGGGGGCAGGGCGCCGGCTGGGGGATCCCGGCGGGGGAGGGGGGGGGGGGCAGGGCGCCGGCTGGGGGATCCCGGCGGGGGAGCGGGGGGGGGGCAGGGCGCCGGCTGGGGATCCGGCGGGGGAGCGGGGGGGGGGCAGGGCGCTGGCTGGGGGATCCCGGCGGGGGCGCAGTTGGGGGGGGGAGGGCGCCGGCTGGGGGATCCCGGCGGGGGAGGGGGGGGGGGGGCTGGGGACGGCGGGGGGGGGGGGGGAGGGCGGGCTGGGGATCCCGGCGGGGGGGGGGGGGGCAGGGCGCCGGCTGGGGGATCCCGGCGGGGGGGCAGGGCGCCGGCTGGGGGATCCCGGCGGGGGGCGCAGTTGGGGGGGGGCAGGGCGCCGGCTGGGGGATCCCGGCGGGGGGCGCAGGGGGGGGGCAGGGCGCCGGCGGGGGATCCCGGCGGGGGGGGGGGGGGCGCGGATCCCGGCTGGGGGGGCGCAGCAGGGCGCTGGCTGGGGGATCCCGGCGGGGGGCGCAGTTGGGGGGGGCAGGGCGCTGGCTGGGGGATCCCGGCGGGGGAGCGGGGGGGGGGCAGGGCGCCGGCTGGGGGATCCCGGCGGGGGGACGCGGCAGGGGGATCCCGGCGGGGGGCGCAGCTGGGGGGGGCGCAGCAGGGCGCTGGCCGGGGGGAGCAGCGCGCCGGCTGGAGGATCCCAGCAGGGGTACTGGGGAGTGTGGGGGGAGGGTGCCGATTGGGAGGCTCACGGGTGTAACCGCCCCATGGCCAAGGGGGCACAGTGCCCTGGGGGGGCAGGCACACCGGGACAGGCGGGCTGAGGAGGGGGCTCAGGGGGCAGAGGCCGACCCTGCCGTCCCTGGGGCAGGACGTGCACAGGCTGCCCACGCCCCTCCCTCGCTTGGGGCCGTGGCCAAGGGCCCGAGCCACTGAGGGTCCCGCCAGGGCAGAGTGGCCGGACAGGCCAGGCCGGGGCCGGGGTTCCCCACAGGGGGTGGGTACCCGCACCCCAGGGTGTGGCAGAGAGTCCGGCCGGGTGACGGGTAGCACCGGGCCCAGGAAACCCTGCTAGGCTTCCTGCCAGGCCACTGAGCCCAGCCGTGCCCCACAGCCAGCGCCAGGCCCCTGTGCCCGGCCCCTCGCCCCACAGCCAGCGCCAGGCCCCTGTGCCCGGCCCCTCGCCCCACAGCCAGCGCCAGGCCCCTGTGCCCGGCCCCTCGCCCCACAGCCAGCGCCAGGCCCGGTGCCCGGCCCCTCGCCCCACAGCCAGCGCCAGGCCCCTGTGCCCGGCCCCTCGCCCCACAGCCAGCGCCAGGCCCGCCCCCCCCCCCCCCCCCCCCCCCCCCCCCCCACCCCCCCCCCCCCACCCACCCCTCCCCCCCCACACCACCCGTCGCCCGCCCCACAGCCAGCGCCAGGCCCCTTGCCCGCCCCGCCCCCAGCCAGGCCAGGCCCGCCCCCCCAAGCAGCAGCCCTGTGCCCGGCCCCCGCCCCACAGCCAGCCCAGGCCCCTTCCCCCCTCGCCCCACAGCCAGCAGGCCCTGCCCCTCGCCCCACAGCCAGCCCCCCCCCCCCACAGCCAGCGCAGGCCCCTGTGGCCCCCGCCCCACAGCCAGCGCCAGGCCCGTGCCCCCCTCGCCCCACAGCCAGGCCAGGCCCGCCCCGCCCCCAGCCAGGCCAGGCCCTGCCCGGCCCCCCCCACAGCCAGGCCAGGCCCCTGTGCCCGGCCCTCGCCCCACAGCCAGCGCCAGGCCCGTGCCGGCCCCCCCCCACAGCGCCAGGCCCCTGTGCCCCTCCCCACAGCAGGCCAGCCCTGTGCCGCCCCGCCCCACAGCCAGCCCAGGCCCGCCGCCCCGCCCCACAGCCAGCGCCACCCTTGCGCCCCCGCCCCCACAGCGCCACCCTTGCCCCCGCCCCACAGCAGCCCAGGCCCCTTGCCCCCCGCCCCACAGCACCCCTTGCGGCCGCCCCCCAGCCACCCAGGCCCTCCGCCCCACAGCCAGCGCCAGCCCTTGCCCTCGCCCACAGCCAGCGCCACCCCGCCCGCCCCCCCCACCCCCCTCCCCGCTCGCCCCACAGCCAGCGCCAGGCCCCTGTGCCCGGCCCCTCGCCCCACAGCCAGCGCCAGGCCCCTGTGCCCGGCCCCTCGCCCCACAGCCAGCGCCAGGCCCCTGTGCCCGGCCCCTCGCCCCCACAGCCAGCGCCAGGCCCTGTGCCCGGCCCCTCGCCCCACAGCCAGCGCCAGGCCCCTGTGCCCGGCCCCTCGCCCCACAGCCAGCGCCAGGCCCCTGTGCCGGCCCCTCGCCCCACAGCCAGCGCCAGGCCCCTTGCCCGGCCGCCCCAGCCAGGCCACCCCGTGCCCCCCCCCACCAGAGCCCGCCCCCCCCCCACACCAGAGGCCCCTTGCCCCCCCCCCACACGCCCCCCCACCCCTGCCACACACCCCCAACACCTGCCCCCCCCAAGACCCTGCCCGGCCCCGCCCCCAGCCAGGCCAGCCCCGCCGCCCACACAGGCCACCCTGCCGCCCGCCCCACAGCACAGGCCCCTGGCGGCCCGCCCCACAGCCAGCAGCCCCTGTGCCCTCGCCCCACAGCAGGCCAGGCGGGCCCCCCCCACGCCAGCCACCTGGCCACAGCAGCAGGCCCTGCCCGCCCCGCCACAGCCAGCGCCAGGCCTGTGCCCGCCCGCCCCACAGCCAGGCCAGGCCCCTGTGGGCCCTCGCCAAGCCAGGCAGGCCCCTGTGCCCGGCCCCGCACCACCCCACAGCCAGGCCAGCCCCCGCCCACAGCAGCCAGCCCCTCGCGGCCGCACACGCACACTCCCCACAGCCAGCCAGGCCCTGTGCCCGGCCCCTCGCCCCACAGCCAGCGCCAGGCCCCTGTGCCGGCCCTCGCCCCACAGCCAGCGCCAGGCCCCTGTGCCGGCCCCCCACACACCAGGCCCCTCGCCCCACAGCCAGCGCCAGGCCCTGTGCCCGGCCCCTCGCCCCACAGCCAGCGCCAGGCCCTGTGCCCGGCCCCTCGCCCCACAGCCAGCGCCAGGCCCCTGTGCCCGGCCCCTCGCCCCACAGCCAGCGCCAGGCCCCTGTGCCCGGCCCCTCGCCCCACAGCCAGCGCCAGGCCCCGGTGCCCGGCCCCTCGCCCCACAGCCAGCGCCAGGCCCGGTGCCCGGCCGCTGCCCCCCCCAATCTCCTCCTCATAGCCAGCGCAGAGTCGTCAGACACCCCCAGCCTCAGCCCCCGCACCCCTTCCCCAACAGCCCCCCCGCATCCTCTCTCGCCCCCTCCCCCAGCAGCTGTGCCCCCCCCCCGCGCCCCCTCCCCCAGCAGCCGACCCCGCCCCCAGCAGCCGGGCCCCGGCGGCGCCGCTCTGCGCTCCCTCTGCCCCGCCGCCGGGCCGGGCCGGGCGATGCTGCCCCACACGGCTCGAGCCCCACTCACCACGTGGCCGCGCCGAGCCGAGCCGAGCCGAGCCGGGGTAGCGGGCGGGCCGGGCGCTGGGTGGCGGCTCCCAGCAGCGCAGGCCCGGCCCGGCCCGGCCCGGCTCGGCCCCGCCCCCAGTGTTCGGACCGCAGCAAGGCGCGGACGCGACTGGTTACCATGGGAACCACATCCCGCCCCGAGCCTCGCCCCAACCAGCCCCGCCCAGCCCCTGAGCCCCGCCCCCAGCCCCGCCCCGCCCCAGAGCCCCACCCCCTTCCCCCCCAGCCAGCCCCACCCCGCCCAGCGCCTGAGCCCTGCACCTCCAGCCCCAGAGCCCCATCTGGGTAGAAGGGGGATGTAACAATGGTGTGTATGAATGGGATGTAACAAAGGTGTGTATGAATGGAAGGGGTGTATGGAGATGGGGTGAATGGATGGAAGGTGGGGGTGGATGACTGGAAGGGGTGTAAGGGGATTGGAGTGAATGGGTGGGGGTGTATGAATGGAAGGGGTGATGGAGGTGGGGGTGGATGACTGGAAGGGGTGAATGGGATTGGAGTGAATGGAATGGGGTGTATGAATGGAGGGGGGTGTGAATGGAAGGTGGGGGTGGATGACTGGAAGGGGTGAATGGGTGGGGGTGTATGAATGGAAGAGGTGTATGGAGATGGGGTGAATGGGTGGAAGGTGGAGGGTGGATGACTGGAAGGGGTGAATGGGGGGTGTGGAGTGAATGGGAGGATGTGAATGGATGGGGTGTGTATGAATGGAAGGTGGGGGTGGATGACTGGAAGGGGTGAATGGGTGGGGGTGTATGAATGGAAGGGGTGTATGGAGGTGGGGGTGGATGACTGGAAGGGGTGAATGGGTGGATGACTGGAAGGGGCGTATGGGGATTGGAGTGAATGGGTGGGGGGTGTATCAATGGAAGGGATGTATGGAGATGCATGACTCTAAGCTCAGGAGCATTCGGCATCCCCATTTCACACCGTGCGCTTCCCACAGCCAGTCCGCCCAGGCGGGCTCCTGGGGAAGCCAGAGAGTCCTGCCCCGCAACTCCGCAGTCAGACGTGCCTCTCAGCCAGCCAGTAAAACAGAAGGTTTGTTAGATGACAGGAACTGTGACGTGATTGACGTGAACTGGGACTGTATAGATCATTGTTGCAACCAAGGTCCTGTAGTGGCACCAAATCTTGTATAAAGGGGGTCAAAAAAGGTGTCTAGGACAAGGTTATGGTTTGCTGGTTAGGATTATGCTTTTTTATATTTAAAGTTATGAATATTGGCTTTATACTGTCTGTATTTCAAACTTGTGCTATGCTTCTGGGTGATACCCCAGATAAGTTGGTGTCAGCTCTGCCCAGCCTGCTAGATGGCCAATTAAGGACCATCAGTTATATAACTGACCCACTGAGAGAAGGCAGATACACCTGGTGACTCAGTAAGGTATGCAGGGACCTGTCCGTGTGACTC